CCAAACTCTATTTGTGAAGAAAAAATATTGATCATTGCAGATGTGTGTTGATTATCGAGGACTCAATAAGATCACCATCAAAAATAAGTACCCACTATCTTTAATATCTGGACTTCTTGATCAGTTGAATCAAGTTAAGATCTATACAAAAATAGATCTACAAAGAATATACAATTTGATATGCATCAAAGAAGGAGATGAATGAAAAATTACATTTTGAATCAGGTATGGATATTTTGAATATAATGTCATGCCTTTTGGACTTACAAATGTACTAGCACCTTTTCAATATCTTATAAATGATATTTTTTGAGAGTTTTTTGATGATTTTATTGTCTGTTATCTAAATAATATCTTAATCTATTTTAAGAATATAGAAAAATATGAACTTCATATTCATCATGTATTATCAAAATTAAGAGATGAAAGACTCTATACCAAGATAGAAAAATATATATTCTATACTACTCAAGTTGACTTCTTAGGTTACATCATTTCAAACGATGGACTTATAATAGATCCTAAAAAAGTTCAAACTATTATAGATTAGAATATTCTAAAATCGGTCCGAGATATCAAATATTTTTTTGAATTTTCCAAAAACTATCGGATCTTCATCAAAGACTTCTCTTGAATTGCAACTCAACTTATACATTTGACTTGTAAAGACAAACTTCAATGGAATCAAGAAGCTGAAACAGCCTCTGAAGCTTTAAAGACAACCTTTGTTTCTGCACCAATGTTATATCGTATTGACTTCTCTAAAGCATTCTTTTTGGAAACAAATGCATTGGACTTTGCTTTGGGTGCCATATTATCACAAATGAGAATTGATAATAAACTTCACTTAGTAGCCTTTTATTCCAAGAAATTTTCAGCAGTCGAGATTAATTATGAAATCCATGATAAAGAGCTTCTTGTAATTGTGGATTCTTTCCAAAAATGACACCATTTTCTAGAAGGTACTTCGAGTTTAGTCACTATGTATATGGATCACAAGAACCTCGAGTATTTCATGTTAGCTTGTATTTTGAATCATCACCAAATTCATTGGAGCATATCTTTGTCAAGATTTGGATTCAATATCACTTATCAGCTAAAAAAATAATAAAGTTTGTCCAATGTCTTTTCCAAATATTCTTATCTTGTACCTAAAGAGGAAGATGTAGCTTTTGATCAACAAAGGATAATTTTAATGAAGCCAAAATAATTTCATCTTTGAGTAGTGAAATCAACATTGACTGTTGATTCAACTTTTCTCAAATAAATTCAATTAAATACGTCCTCCGATCATCTTATTCATGATATTAAGAATACTTCTTTTAAGTCTTGTGATACTTCTAAGTTTGACTTCAAGAACAATCTACTTTATTTTAAAAAATGCCTATATGAGAAGCACAATTACATGTTCTTCAAGCACATCACAACTTTCTAACAGCATGACATTTTGGATACAACAAGACTTTAGAGCTAATATCTAGAGATTTTTAATGGCCACAAATATAGAAGGCTGTAAAAGACTTTATTCAATCATGTAACATTTGTTCAAGGTCAAAAACTCCTTGACATTGATTTTATGGACTTCTTCAATTACCTATTCCAGAACAACCATGGTCTTCTATTTCTATGGATTTTATCATGGATCTTTTAGTCTCTAGATTGTATGATTCTATATTTGTGATAGTAGATCATTTTACCAAAATGGCTCATTTTGTACCATATATAAAATCTATCACAAGTAAAAAAGCTACCAAGCTTTTCCTTGATAATATCTATCGATATCATGGATTGCCAAAAGATACTATATCAGGTAGAGAGACTCAATTTGTATCAAGATTTTAGAAAACTCTTTTTAAGATTTTAAAGCTAGAAATAAAGCTTTCTTTGGCCTTTCATCTTCAAACTAATGGACAGATAAAGTACGTAAATCAAGTTTTGGAGCAATATTTAAGGTTTACCATTAATTATCAACAAGATAATTGGTAAATCCTCTTACTATTAGTAGAATTTGCTTATAATAATACAGTGCATTTTTCTACGTAATAAACACTTTTCTTTGTCAATTAAAGTTACCATCCATAACTTAATTCTTTTGACTTTTTAAAAGTTGATAATCTTGTAATAGAAGGTTTGGCAAATCATTTATCAAAGTTGCATGCAATAATAAAAGTGCAATTAAATGAAGTTCAAGAACTACAAAAGATCAATGTAGATGCTTATCAAAAGGAATAACTACAATTCAATATATGTGACAAGATATAGTTGCTTTATCGTAAAATCAAGACTACTTGTTTTTGTAATAAGTTGGACTATCGCAAGCTTGGACCTTTTCCTATTTGTCGACAAATCAATTCAATTGCTTATTGATTACATTTATTGGAGGCAATAAAGATCCATCATGTCTTCCACATGTCTTATCTTGAATCATACAAGACTATGAACATATCAAAAAGAAAACAAGCTCTACCTCCTCATATAGAAGTGGACAATAATGAAGAATTTGAAGTGGAAGAATTTCTAGATTTAAGGTGGCGCTCAAATAAATTAGAATATCTTATTTATTGGTGTAGATACAATATTAAAAAATGTACAAAAGAGCTAGTAAAGAATCTTACAAATGTAGGAAAGGTGGTGGAGGCTTTTCATTAACAACATCCATATAAATCAAGATGAAGAATAGTAAATCTTTGCTATAAAAGAAACAAGGTTTAAGGAAGATGGCATTCTACCTTCAATATTTTTTTGTAGCTTTTTTGTATTTGTGATGATAAGGAGATGGAAAACCAACAATTAGCAGATTTAACTCAAGAGCTTTCATTTATGGATCTATCATATGAGACATTGTAATTGTCACAACCTTCAAGACGACAAAATTGAGATGAAGATCCTTAAGAATGACATGTCCTTCCTTGAATAGATGATAAGATACAATGTGTTTGATATCATGACCTTGGAAGAGACTCCAGATGTTTAATGATTTAGAGGTGGGAATAACTCCTGATGGTATTTCAAATGTTTTATTTGAAAGAAGTTACGAAAGTCTTAAAAACTATCAAATAATAGGAAAATCTTCTTGCCCTAGTTTGAGATACTATCAATAGTTGAGAGGGCCTATCAACTATCTTCAAAGAGAATAAAGATCGGAGTATGTGACAAAATTCAATTTGCTACCTCTTAGATTTCTTCAACATATGAAGATTGTTCTTTATAAAACACGTTTCGAAAAGAAGAGATAATGTCACAAACATACATATGTAAATCAATAATTATTTATATGATTTAGATAATAGTAGGTAAAAGTAGATCAATTCTATAATATCTTTTGGAAAAGCTTCTTAGAAGCTTGATAGATGCTACTTTGACTTTATAGGTATCTTTAATTGACTTTTTAGATTAAAAGTATAGTTAACAAGTTCACCATGTACCACACATGTTGGTAGCTTGAAGAATAAATTAATTATGTAGCCCACATATAGAAAACTTACCTTGTAAGCTAAGACATGTGTCTTACAAAGTCAACACATATTAGATGTCCTATATAACATCGCCATGTAGCTCCTAGTTAAATAGTATATATAGAGGCAAGAGTCAAGCCATCTTCACTCTTGTCAAGTCCTATCTTGTTTCTAGTCTAGATTTAAGAGTCTTTAGTTTCTTTGTCATTTGACAATAACCATTTCAGTTTCTTTTTAATATACATATTATTTTGTTTTTATTTTGCCACTTTTCTTTTCAAAAAGATTTTTCAAGTTTATGCATCTTCTTCCAATTCATGTCCTTGATACTTTTATATTATAAAACTTCATGTTATTTAATTATCAAACATGATTATTTTGAATATATATTTTTTATTTTTATATACAATCCATTGTAAGTATAGACATTTATAAAAATAAATATCTCTACAATATTTTTAAAGTTAATTTGAAAAAAATTCACACAAATTTATAAGTAGTTTAAGGTAGCACATATGTTTTCTTTTTTCTTCAAGATAGAAAGCAAGATTTTGCATCTTTCAAAGCTTGTAGTTGCTTGAAATTGAGAAGCCTCACTTAGTTGGCTTTATGCTTAGAATGCACTGTTTTCTTAGGTTACATGCACAAAGCTGACCTCCAAAAAAATTTACATGTACGAAGTTGGAATTGGATTGTACAATGTACTTTTAACTATTTCAAAAGATTAAAGTTTTCAAAAGACAATCCCTCTTCAATAAGTGAAGATCTTCAAAATGCTTTCAGATCATGACTTTCCTAATTGGGTTTCTAAGTACAAAATCCACATAATCCAGTAATTAGCAGAAGAAGATGAACAAGATGAAAAAAGCAGAAAAAAGCACGTCAATTAATGCTAAGGAATGTGTAAGACAATGAGGACGTGCTGTCGACCTGCACAGTGATGGGTCACTGGTCATGAAGTGGTGCTCACAGAAAAGAATGTTTGAATAGAATGTCGTGAGCGAATGGAAGGAATAAAGCAAGATATTGCACGCATGTGAAGACGGTAAATCTGCTACAGTGGATGCTGAGGAGTGTGATAAAGTTTTATTGCATTTTTGTATCTTTGCAGGACTTATCAGCCGTCATCTCCCTCAAGCCTTGTTTATTGATATAAAACACAACCCCATAAAGTCACCCAGCTACCACGGCGCTTCTCCTGTACTGGCCCCTGTATGGAAACTGCTTTCTCTTAACTGAGCACTTGCATATGTGCGATGCTACTCTGGTGAAAGCTTGTAGAGGTAGAAGCAAGTTTTTCTTGTCGTCAATAACTTCGAGAAACCATTACTCGGCCATGGTGACTCTACAACATCTCTCGGTCTTGCAATGAGGAGATCATCATGAGGGAGTTTCTCAATTACAGCAAGTCTCCACGAAGAAACTGCAATGTAGGCTTTTGTGAAGCAACAATATGAGCAGCAACAGTGAATATTGCAATCGTTTTCCAGGGTTAGATCAGTGGGGTAAAAACTGCGATTGAGAACGGGTTCTGCTGGCTGCTCGTTGTGGTAGAAATATAGGCTTTATTTATGAGGTCAAACAATCGAGTCCTGGTATAACACCAGGAGATAGTACTGTACGTGTAGTACGTAGTACGACTAAGTTACACATGCAAAAATTCGCTAACTTGCTCCAACGCTACAGGAAGAGCACAGAAAGACAGGTCAAAAATTCGAGCCCAGAACTAACCCACTGTGGCAACGAGTGGGATCCAAAAACTAGGCACGGTTATTCGGTAGAGTGTGATGACTTTTCTACAGAGGCAGAGTACCACAAAGAAGGCTCTAAAGGGATTTCTAGCGCCGCGCGGGGCCATAAAGCGGAGTTCCAAGTGGCTCTACAGAGATGTGGTAGAATTCTTTAACTGTTCGTCACATAGTGAATTGGAAAGCACTTCCAGCTTATACTCAGATGAGTGGCACGTAGCGAACGCCCAACTCGTTGGTCTTCTTCACAGTCCCATCGAGTAACTTGTCAATAATAACAAGCTCCTGCTCATTTTAATCAGCAGTGCAATTATTAGAGGTAGGGTTGGAACCGAAATCCATGACATAATGATGGAGAGTACACGGTCTACGAAAACTTTCAGAATACCCCGGTTGCGTCAGAAAGGTCTACCTGAGAATTGGTTCCCACAGGAATAACCATTCGCCCACCTGGCTTCAGCTGCCTCACTAGAGCCTCAGGAAGTTCTGTTCATTCAAGCAATACACAAGATTAAGGTGAGAATTTTTAAGAACTTTCCTCATGGCTGGAGAACAATGTTGCTCAAGATCACTATCAGGGAAAGGTGGCGATATACCTGCTGCTGCTGCTCCCACGTGGATGGCATCGTAAGGCCCGCATTCCTCCCAACCAAGCTTCCCATCCGCCACTGCATTTCATTCCAGCACTTGGCTTGTCAGAGGCAGAACACTTCATCAGTCGTCACTCTGAACTGCTACTAAAAAAATCTAACACTAGTACGTAGAAGATCCCTCTTAAATCTAGGCTGGCCCCAACAACGCTTACGTGATGGACACAGCACCTCGGACCAACCTAGATTTCACAGCAAAACTCAGTTTCTTTTGCTACCGAAGGATGACTTCATAACGTTGGCTGTAAATGGTTACCATGAACAACAAGGTGGCCTTTCTCTAGCAGGGGGCCAGCTGGAGTTAATTTGATAGCTTCAATCGACCGTGAGGCGAGTTCAGAAATGTGCTCTACACCCACGGTGTGACCGGTTTCTCCAACCTGGGGTGTCAAAAAAGAATTCAGAATCCAGTCACAAACTGCACTTGTTGAGACCATGCCTACAGCGAACAAACCACATTCATTTTAACTAACTCTAGAAGGATCGGCGGTGCTTCCAGTCTAGATAATATACCATGAGGCCAAACACAGCGGTGAGGTAACCGGATCCAGAACCAACGTCAAGGACGACGTTTCCAGGCTTCAGGTAATCAGCCAGCAGAGACAGACAGAATGAGTGCTGCGGAAACAACGATGCTCGTTAGTGAGCGGGTATAACCTCGAGTGAAGTCCTACAGTCTACAAATCCAACGCTGAATTTAGTCATGAAACAATAGAGTGCATTGTGAAAATCAAATTGGGGGGGCAAGAAAGGAAGGGGATGGTACCATGTGCGGGGCAGAGATTGTTGCTGAATGCCCTGAAATATCCACCAAACACGAGTAGCACTTAGTTCTCGCAATCTTTCGTCCGACAATAAATCTCAACAGACAATACCAAACCAATCTTTGGAGAAGTTAAATCTGCTCACACCGTGCTGACATTACCTATGACTTGAGGAGCATCATTGTAAGCCAATCTCGCATCCGGCACAAAGAGCTTTCTGTCCACTTTGTACATGGCAAGGGCCGCCTCTGGTGAAGTGAGGATCTTTTGGTCTGTGAAAGCACAATAAACGGGGTTAACAGTTTATGGCACTTCACGGCAATGGCGATACACAAGCAGCGCTAAAATTGCGCTCAAGAATCTACTTCAGTTGTCCAGAAACCGATGAAGATCTGAGTCTTTCAGCGTGGACCAGTGTGCAGAGTAAAACGCAAGTTATGCGAATATGCAGATAAGTCGTCAGCTTAGGAAGCATCGTGCGCGTACTCTGCAAGTTAGAGATCAGCTCGGCGTTGGTTGCTCCATGACAACGCCACATCATCTCATCGCCAGGTGAACTTGGCGCCGGCGGGTACTTGCCCGGCGGCGCACAAGGGGCGAGATACGGCTTCCCAATTTTCCCTTGTTTTCTTTGTCTCGAAAACTCCGCTTGATCCGCGCCCAGGGAAACGGAGGTTCTTTAATGCCTCTTATGATATGAGGAAGTTGATGGAGCTTGTTATAGACGATCGCTGCAGTAGTATTCGAAGACCTCGGAGGGATAATTTATGGATGTAGATGTCTAGGTTAAAATTATTTCGGTTCAACAACCCTTCGCGAATCCTTCAGAAGTTTGTGAAAAACTCAGAATGTAGAAAGAAGGATTGATAACTTAATTACGGAGAGTTGAGTGATGCACAAGAGAATCCCGAATTGCGATCGTGGAACGAAGAACAACTCAAAAAACTGGACTCATGGCACGGAGATACAGAACTTGGGATTATCGGGTGACAGAGAGAATACTTCAATCTAACAAAATTTAGCCCCAATGCAACGCACACAGGACGACCACTCGCTAATCCACACACTGCCGCGACATCGAGACTCTGCAATGACTTCCTCCGAAAAGGAATCTAATTCCCAACCACTGCGCAAAACCTGGTACCTGAACAACACAATACTGCTATAACGAAAATCACAGTTGCTTCAAAAGTAGGCAGTGGTACCAGAACCCGACAGAGATCTAGGCAACACTGACACAGCTCATCAGTCTCTCAGCAACAAGACCACCACAGAACTCAACAAATTGTCAAGAACCGACAATCAGAGCACTACCAGTGTCACCTCTGGAAAGAAACTCATAAAGTGTATTTCACCACCAAGGGAGGTTAATTCACAACACTACTAGCACTCGAAGAAGAGAGCAAACGCAAACAGGTTCGCAGAACTGGCTTGTAACAGGATGGCACTAAGATATTAGGGCCTGAACTCGAAGAATGCACTTGAGAAGAGACACTGGGAAGGAAGACGATTGCCAGCGATAGGAAACAAAAGGGGCAATGGCTTATATAAGGAGAGCGAAACCTCTCGATACAGTTGCTAGCACACAGTGAGGAAGAGGGTTTTACGGGACATGGTTTACTGCAGGGAATTCTGCGACGGCAAAAATTATTCGCCACTTCCGCATGATCTCAGCACCACTGCAGCTGTTACTGTCTGTAAGGCATCCTGAGCTAGTCCCCCCCCCCCCCCCCCCCACTACCACCGCGGTGGTGGTGCTCTTGACTCATCATCAGTGATTAACGGCGATCATCTCGACTGCTGCGCCGTGGACGAAGAACCCATAGACTCACCGGTGACGTTAGCTGCCATTTTAGGTGGCTTCCCTTCTACACACGACTACTATTTATTCTCATGTTTGTATATAATTATTATTGTTTCTGTATACTTAGCAAATTTAGCTTTGTTTTGTGTACGTGTGTTGTTTTTACACAAACTGGTATAAACATGTACTAGTCCATCATGCATGGTTGACATTTCACTCTCCTGACCCAAGTCACCAACCTATTCGTTGCTATTGTGCAATCTTAGGTGTAATATATGTCAAATTTTGGTAATTTAAAGTTAATTTTGGGTATTTAACTCATAGTGCTTTGGATATTGTAATGGACTGAGATCATCTCTTGGAGTTTGCAATACCATCCACCTAATTAGAAGAAGAAGATACAATTGTTTTAGACATCAAATGGCAACTCAATTGGTCTCTTGCCAAATTTGCCTTCTCCTTCTTCTCATTGGAGTTTTGAAAATTGGAAGAGGGGCGGCTGCTTATTTCTAGATCCATGTTTTTAAACAAATCTTGTAAAACATGCTAATGTCCAAATTATTGGTGTGAGGGGAGTGGTGATGGTCCAACATCCCAAGCACCCACAAATATATTTATATAATACTCTATGCTTTTAACACTTAAAAAAAACCATTCTCCATTAATTTATGTTTATGTTTTTAAGTTTTAAGTATTGGAGGATTACAAAAAATCATTGTTCACGTGTTAGTATCTATAAATAAATATTACTAATTTTACAACCTCTTAGTACTAACTTGACATATTTTTGGTAATTAAATCTGCAAAGAACCTACAACCCACGTGTTATGTTTCACACTGCTAAATATTTGTTAGTATTTGTGGTTATTTGTGCCTCACAAAAAGTTTAAAGAGGATTAGTTCAACTTTTTTTTGTAAATTACCATGTTGTTATTTTGTGTGTTTCAATAAAATTGCACTGGAGTGTGGATATTAGCATGTACTTTAGATTTTAGGTGCTTATTAGGTGCTAATCATGCAATATCCATATGGATTATGTGCCCCCTTTCCAACAGAGAAGGGGTTGTGGGCCAACATCTAGATGGTCTCATAGATATGGCTACTGTCCACAAGCAAATATCATGAAGAATGTGATTTTTTTCTTTTCTTTTTTGTGTTTATCTTTTTAAATATAAATATGTATGTATATATGTATATATACATAGTAACATATGGGGATTTGTTACAAAATGGACTAATTGATCATGGTTTTGTGAACAAGTGGATATTTCATTTTTGGACTTTGCAATCATGTAGCACATAAAACAACTGAAGTTGAACACTGAAGATGTTACAAATGTGGAGGTATGTACATTCAATGATGTAACTAACCAGGGTGGAAAATATGTACAAGGGTTTTGGTGAAAACTTCAATGACTTTTTTCAGATTTGATTAAAAGTGTTGAGTAATATAATTTGAACAGTTACTTTAAAAAAGAAAGAAAAGGCATATGGTAGAAAAAATTTATAAATATGCAAAGTTAAAATAAATAAATAAATAAATAAAAATACTTTTGTGTGAAACAAACTGTAGGAAGCTTTTTGATCTTTCAATGAGGATTGGAGAAGAATGTAGTCTCAAAAAATTCGAAAAAAATTGAAGAAAAAAAAAAAAAAAAAAAAAAAAAAACTTATATTAAAAATATCATATTTGGAATCAACCTAATATACCCATTTTTTTTATTTCCAGAATTTTATAATTTTTTTCAGTTTCTTCTATCTAATTTTCTTCATGTAATCATTATTATTATTATTATTATTATTATTATTTTATTTTAGAAAATGAGTCACCATACTGCATATTCAAAAATTTAATTATAATTGAAATTCTACCTATTAAAACATGTTTTCTTTGTCAATGCATGAACTGTTTTATAGCATCAAACACATGTTTTAAGTGCATTTCTCTAGAATTTGTTAAGTTCAATAGTACTGAAAGGATTTTTAGAAAACTATTATTCTGTAATTGTGCATTACCATGCACTCTAAGAGATTGAAGTGTAATGACAGACTATAATCTACACATTTTATGTTTGAGACACAACTCCAGAAATATGTTGTCTTACAAGCTCCATCATGTGCTCACCTCAACCTTTCAGAATATTTCAAAATGTCACAAAACTTATAATTAGTATCACAACATTTTCTCATGAAGTCTTCATAATGGGGCCATTGTTGTTATGTTGTGGGCATTATTAGCATCAAAATATAATGCAGGGATGATCTGAACATTCTTTCAGGGCTTATCAAATTATACCACCTTGGTGAAATGGTTAACTTAAACAAACAACAAAGACAAAGTTTCAAAGAGACTCATTGAATAATCAACAAAAAAGAGGAGAAAAAGGAAACAGAAAAGGAAAATATATAACTATAATTTAAATTTCCTAATATTGAGCAGTTTTATTACATTTCCACAAGTTCTACAGGCCAAATAAAAAATGCATAGTACATTCAGCTTAAAAATTTACTTTTATAAGTTTTGAACGACCCTGTTTTTTCCTTTGTTTACTTTTTACACCCCATGCATGGGCCTAAAAACATCTTAAGTATCAAGCAAATCATGCAACAAAACTTGTCTGTTAGACCTCTAAAATTGGGATTCCTTTTGCACCAAATGCATTTATTGTTTCCATGGTCTTCATGCTAATACATAATGAATTATCATTCTGATGGTGTCTTTAGTTATTAATTTTTTGGGGGTTTAAGGAAGCTTGTGATATCTGTAAAATGTGATATGATTTTGTTGCTGTGGAGGTTCAGGATTGTCAGACTACTTGAATAGTGTAGTAATAGTAGCCTTCTATCATAGCGGCAGCCTTTTTAACCATGATATTATTCAAACAAATAATCAACCCTCTTTTTTGTTTAATTTGATGCACATTTGATTGTCTCTTGTGTAATCTCTTGTTGCTACATGCCTTTTACATCCTTTTTCCACAAAGGTATTGGAAAGACCTGTCTCTTTGTTTTGGGAAACAAACAAAAGAGAGAAGACCATAAAGACCAAAATCATTACAAAATTCATTCATTCCTTCAGTACTATATATGCACATAGGCATACACAGAAATAACATCCTTTGTGTTTCTTTGGGTTAGTATGTTTTACAGATGTATTTCAAACCAGTATCATTTTGCAATTGATAATGCAGTCAATTTTTTTTTTATTTTTTTTATCATGGAGTCTCATCTTAATTTTGGTAAACTTTATTTTTAAGATGCAAAGTCATAAATTGTTCTTGCTGTGGTTTTGTGATGACTTTTTGTGCCATTGACTAATCTGAATAGCAAAATGTACATTACATTCCATGATCAAGACTGGTAATTCTGAAGTAAGAATTTGTTAATAATTCAATAAAGACCTGAATTCTTTAGTTTGTTACATGAACTTGAATACTATTAACTTTAAACTCAGACCTAAGTTCAAAACAGTTGAACATTTCTTCTACCATTAAATCCAACATTTCTTCTAGAACACCAATTGAATGTCAAATAAAACCCTCTTTGCTGAATTGTGATATGAAATGCTATCTTTCCTTCTGGCAATCTATACCTAGTTTCACAGTTGAGATTATTTGCAGCAACCCAGTGGCTTGGTTCCGTCGCTGGTGTTCTTCTTCTACTTCGTCTGCTTCATCGTCGTCATCCACAACTGCAAGGGCAGCAGCAGTGTTTCCATGGATGGGTGGGCAGCTGAAACACACACACAACGACGACAACAACAACAATAACAACAACAGCAGGAACAGCAACAGAAAACAGCACAGGATGTGGGACACAGCAACTCTAGGCATGTCGCATTCGATCAGGCTGCGCTGCCGTTGCGCATTCACAGGGTGGCTTGGCAAATCGTCCTTGAGAAGCGAGCCATGTATCATTGATGAAGTGATGGGCAGTGATGGGATGGCATTGACCCGGAGTCTGTGAGTGGGGCTCCTCCGGCGACGCTGCAAGAGAGATCCTGTCTGGTGGCAGGCGATCAGCAACCCTCAAGCCACACAATCCTGCCTACCTGCCTGCCTTTCAACCCCGGGATTTGCATCAGTCGTCGATTCCATTGCTGATGTAGTCTTGCATTCTTCCACCGTTTGGATTGCTCCCAAGCTTTCCAACTGCGAGCACAAGGTCTTGAAGAATTCTAGTACCGCTGAAGGATCGTTCGAAGGAAACGATGACGACGACTAAAACGAAGGTCTCGGTGGAGACGTCTGGAATAGGGAAAAGAACTTATGACATGGCTTTTATTGACAATAAGTTAATGAATGTGAATGTATTATTTGTAATTGTATATATATACATATATATACATATATACATATATATACATATATATGTATATATACATATATATACATATATACATATATATACATATATATACATATATACATATATATACATATATATACATATATACATATATATACATATATACATATATATACATATATATACATATATACATATATATACATATATATACATATATACATATATATACATATATACATATATATACATATATATACATATATACATATATATATATATATATATATTTCACAATTGGAGTATATGTAATACATTAATTAGAGATATTAAATATAAAATTAATTTAATACTTAATACCTTAAAGACAAGACAATAGTAGAGCACATATTTTAATGAGTTGTGTTACTTGTATGCACAATTATTCTA